TGGAACCAATATCAACAATGCTATAATTACGGAACTTTGCATGCAGTTCAAAATCAAGCATCACAATTCTTCTCCATACAGGCCTAAGATGAATGGTGCAGTGGAAGCTGCCAATAAAAATATAAAGAAGATTGTGCAAAAGATGGTAGTAACCTACAAAGACTGGCATGAGATGCTACCATTCGCTCTTCATGGCTACCGTACTTCAGCTTGAACATCAACTGGGGAAACCTCATTCTCTTTAGCCGATGGCATGGAAATTGTCCTACCTATTGAAGTTCAGATTCCTTCCTTAAGGATTATGAAAGAAGCAGATCTAGGAAAAGATGAATGGATTTAGACTAGGTTGGATCAGTTGAACTTAATTGATGAGAAGAGACTGGCTGATGTTTGTCATGGTCAAATGTATCAAAAATGTATGATCAAGGCTTTCAACAAAAAGAACAAACCTCGAGTGTATCATACTGGTGACTTGGTAATCAAGCGCATCATTCTTTCACAAGGCGATCCCAGGGGCAAATAGACTCTCACTTACGAAGGGCCATTTGTTGTCAAGAAAATATTCTCTAGTGGTGCCATGATGCTGACTACTATGAACGATGAAGATTTCCCACATCCAGTGAACGCAAACATAGTCAAAAAATACAACGCATAAAATGACCCGCTAGCTTGACATACCTAGGAAAAAATAAGGGCATCCTGGCGAACCAAAGAGGTTCGGGAAAAAATTAGGGATATATGCAAAAGATTGTACACCCGGCAAGTCAAAAACCTTAAAGGGCAGCTTGGGCAAAAATGGGTATCTTGGTGGACTGAAAACCCGAAAGGGTGATCCAGGCAAAAGTTTGGGATTAAAGCGTATGTCTATGTCCCGTGGAATCTCTACAGCCAGTTTTTATTACCAAGTTCCAAGTTCAATGGTCCAGGATCAATTCAATTGACTTCTTTCAATGGTAAAGGACGATGTTCGAAGATATAGAGGCAATAGCGAAGTTGGAACCCAATGAGATCACTTCCATATGGCTATTATTTTTTGTTTTCACTTTGTATTCCTTTCATTCTTTCGATGATTTACTCTTACTAGTATCTCTGTCTCCTTGTACAAAAGCCCCTATTTATGGGCAAAACATCAATGCAAATATACTTTGAAGTGCAACCTTTTGTTTTTTTTTTCTGTTTTAAGTGAAAAAGCGTCCAATGGCTAAAATTGAATGAACATATGCATATGAACATGATTAACTTTTAACAAATATATGAAAACAATAATAAGTATCTCCTTAAGGATTTGAATTATCCCCATAAAGTTACTTCAATAAAATCATCCCCACAGACTTGGATTCATGCAATCCCCAGCCAGAATTTCAATCTCCGAAAACCCTCTCCCCAACTGAGTTGATCTAAAAAGGGCCTTGTGGATTTCTCCCTAAAGGAAACACCTCTCTAGCAGGTCATCAAATTTTCTCTTCAACAGGGTTTATTTCCCCAACAAACTGCAAATTCCCCAGCTTGAGTTTTCTTCTCAGACTATTACAAATCAACGGACGAAACCCTTAACCCCTGGCAGAGTCATTGCAATCTCTAACGGAGTCATCACTATCCCTGAAAGTGGTTGTGAACCCTGGAACCCGACCAGATAAAAGTTGACTCCATTCCTCCAAAGCAAGTTAATGCGAAGCCTGGAACCGACCAGATAACAATTCAACTTCATCCTTTCAAGCAAGTTACTGTGAAGCCTGGACCTGACCAGATAACAGTTCAACTTCATCCTTTCAAGCAAGTTACTATGAAGCCTGGACCCGACCAGATAACAGTTCAACTTCATCCTTTCAAGAAATTTACTGCGAGGCCTGGAATCTGACCAGATAACAGTTCAACTTCATCCTTTCAAGCAAGTTACTGCGAAGCCTGGAATCCGACCAGATAACAGTTGAACTTCACCCTTTCTAGCAAGTTACTGTGAAGCCTGTAATCTGACCATATAACAGTTAATTTCATCTAAGTTGTTGTGAAGCCTAGAATACGACCAGATAACAGTTAATTTAATCTTCCCTAGTAAGTTGCTGCAAAGCCTGGGATCCGACCAGATAATAATTAACTTTATTAACCCCAACAAGTTGTTGAGAAGCCTGTATCCGACCAGATAACAACTAACTTCCATTCTCTCCGATCAAGAGATAACTCCTCATTAGAGCAACGAACAACTAAAACTCCTGAGCTCTTTCCCCCAAGCTGAAATCAACACTCTCCATAGAGTTTCCCTCAAGCAAAGTCAATGTTCCCCAGCAGATTTTTCCTCAAACAACAAAACAGGAATCCCCGGCGGAGACACCCTAAACAAAGTTTGAAGATACACATACTCTTCAATAGAAGTCTAGGATTTAACTTCCCAAGGCTCCCCAACATTTGTCAAGGACTTATTTTCCAAGACAAAGATACAGTTCAACAATATTTCACATTGCTACATCATATTACATACATGATAAATGCATACAGCATAATCCCATTTATTTTGAGAACACCATCAAGCCATGCATACATCTGCATGCAACTAACCCTCTTCCTTGCAGGAAAAAGTCAATCAACAAAACATAAGTCCTCCTCTGGATAGATTCACATCTTCCAATTAATAATAGGTAATCAAAAGTCCTCTTCTGGATAGATTCACTTCTTCTAGTTAATAATAGGTGATCAACCGAAGACTTCTTCGGGCTAGAATAATTTCTTCCAATTAATAATAGGCAACCAACAGGCCTCTTTTTGTTATAATTGTTTCCACAGTGAAGTCACCAATCACAAGACCTCTTCTGGTTATATTTATTTCTTCCAGTTAAAGACAGGCAAACAAAGACATCTTCTGGTTAGATTTATTTCTTCCAGTTAAAGCCAGGCGCACAAAGACCTCTTCTGGTTAGACTTATTTCTTCCATATTAAAGATAGGAGAACACAAGACCTCTTCTGGTTTAGATTTATTTCTTCAATTTAAAGACAGGCAAAGGAAATTTGTTGTCTCAGATTAAATCGACCAAAGATTTATTCAGATACTTCTCTCAGTAGACTTTTTTTCGGCTCAGATTAAATCGACCAAATATTTATTCTGATACTTATCTTAGCTGAAGACAAGCATTAGACTTAGTCTAATTTCTCTATCAACAATCATTTATGATAGCATCTATAAGCCCATCCCCGACAATATTCTATCACTCTCCAAATGGCATCTATAAGCCTATTCCTGATACGATAAGTCTATAGTGGTACTTCTTGCACAAGCGAGTGCAAATTTCTGGGCACTCTAGTGTTCAATCATCTTCCACCTTTGAGTCACGAATGGAAGACATGCCAATTTAACTCTTCGGGTTTAAGAAGATTGAACAGGGACAACTGTTGTATCCCAAAATTTGCCCTCCCATTTTTCATTCAAGATGTTATCCTAGGGTTTTCTCAAATACTCAAATTGGCTCAGGAGTTGATCAGACAGATTCTCCTCCTAAACATTGAGTCCACAACTAGGGTTTGGTACTTCTCAAGCAAAATTGAGTTTCCAAGGTTTTGAATGGTCTTCATGGTTCTTCATGTATTCTCAAGGATTCTCATGCCAAGTTTCAAGCCTCGCATCGCAAGTTTGCTCAGTTAATGGTGCAAATGACTAAAAACCAACTGTATTGACCCAAAAATCGACCTTTTCAAGATCAAGTTCAAATTATTGAAACTTATTCATTATTTGATATTTTTTAGTGGTTCTTTTTACGTATGACTCTCCTTGACGTCATCTCCCATTTCTCTTTACAAGTCAAGAGTTGATCACGTGCGAAAGATCATCAGAAAATTCAAATACTTTAGAGGTCATTTTGCAAATTGGACCTAATCACAAGAAACTCTTGTCCAATTCTCGAGTTTCATAACTTCTTCAATTATCAACATCCTGAGGAGATTATTTTTGTGAAGTATCACAAATAGCGTTGTCTATGAGATTACTTCAAAGATCAAGGTCAAATTATGCTTGGTTCAATTTATGTTACAGACGTTTCTCAAAGGGCATTTGATTCTTATGTTGGGATAATTCATGAAACTAGAGTTCTAGTTCAATGATTCATTGATTGCTTGTCGCCTGCTTTAAGTCATTTGCAGTTGAACATTAGCGATCATTGGATTAAAGTGTATTGTTGATTAAATCTCTTAAAGGTGTGATTTGTATTATTGGCTCGTATTGCAAGTTACCACGAATTGACGATATGGGATTTAAAGAAGAAGATTTGAGGAACAATTCAAATAATTCTTTTTTTGATTACAAATCAATTCAAGTTAGTAAAGCATTACACGATATCACAAGTTTCGTCCAAATTTTCTATGGTTCATTCACGTGAATTATTTTTAATTCAAGGTATAAAAAAATTGAATTCACTAAAATTTGCTCAATTTCGTTCAACTTCTTTTTAACTTCATTCAATATCATGATAAATTCCAAACAATTCCCATGACCTAATTCAAAGAGTAAGCATCGTCATTCTTTAAAATCAAATTGTTTCAATCAAGGTCCACTCAAGTATCTTCAAGACCAAGTCTCATATATCATTCAAAAAAAAGAGGGCAAGTTTATCAATGTTAGTTCAAGGAAATTCAAGAGCATTAAAAGTTTCAAGGCATGTATCATTACCCATTCATCATTCAAAAGTCCACTTTCAAGGTTCACTGCCATTCAATTTCATTCATATTCATTCAAGCTTCAAGAAGAAAAATTACATGGATCTCATATTCTAAAGCTTTGAATAATTTCATCATTCAAGTTTACAAAAATACAAATTCAATTCTTTTTTGTTTAAGTTTCAAATTACAAATTACAAGAAAATTACACAAGTTCTTTTTTGTTGTACATGGAAACGTAAAGTCCTCCCTAAGCATATGCTAACTCGTTTCTAAAACCCTTCATGCTTCATTTGTTATGCTCAAACTTCAAGTTTCCTTGCCTTGCTTCATTATTTCATCATCTTTTCCATAAAATATGTCAAAACCAGCCTTGCCATCCTGCTATAACAAACAACCTGCACATGTTGCCCAAAACTGTCCAAGACTGTCCAAAACCAGTCCCAAAAACAGCCCTGCTGTCCATTGCTGAACTGTCTAAAAAACCAATACAAAAACTGTTGTGCACCAGTCCAAAAATAGCCTGCTACCTATCTTCAAAACCTGCCCAAAAATCTATCAAAACAATTGTAATAAATAGCCAAAGATATCACAAAATTAACAAAACAAAGACTGCACCAGAAAGCACAAAAAATAGCATCCACATTTGTTCAAAATTCACCCAATTTCCCCCAATTTTCTCATTATCTCACCTATATAATAGAAGCAACTTAGGAAAAAGGAGAGGGTTAAAAATTCTGCAAAATTATACAAGCTTCATCCAATCTATGAAAATCATTCAAAATATCACTCTTTTAACCTCCAATACCCTCCACCTCCATAACCTTTAAACTCTCTGCAAAATTCTCTAATACAGAAGCTCATTCAACACTCACCATATAACCCGCAAAAACGCATTATCCTTGCATAATAGCAACAATAACCAATCACCTACAACAATCCATTCGTCCTGATAATTCTTGAACCAGCTTCAGAAGAAGGAAGAAGAGATAAAGAAGAATCAAAAGTGCAGACAAGGTACCGAAGCTTACCCAAGAATAACCGAAACTCCAATCTATAACAGCTCAACATCTGTTCCAAGTCTGAAGCAAATAGAACAAGGAGAAGTAATTAACAATACTCACTACCAGAAAGAAGGACTCCGACAGGTACTGATTCTTTTCCACCATTCTCGCACCTTTGTGTTTGCATATGTTTTGTACTAATTATTGCATAATGTCTGTTGCTACTGCATAAAAAAAAAGAAGAAACTGTGGGAAATAATTATAATGTTAGAGAAAAAACTAGAAAAATTACATAGGTGCACATACATAATTTGTACACTGTTCTTACCAAGTTTTTTTTTACTAAACACTCCCTCGGCCTAGCTTCTTTTCATTAATCTCCAAACCCTTAGACAAATCAATCAAACTCTGTCCAACTCTCTATAAACTCTACTGAGTTAATCTCGCCTTCATGCTAACCTTCATTCTCTGTCCCTCATCGCACTCAGCATCGATCAACTCAAACGGAAACTCATCCTTAGAGGTGATACTGTTGTTGCTACATGGTATGGATTTGGGCTCAAGAACCACCTCAACCGCCACTTTCCATACTGATGGATTTTGGCAATGCTCGACCTGCAAAAATAAAAGCTTACGTTCAAAAGAAACAGAATATACAAAAAACCATAGCAAATAGAACCATACCCACTCCGCGGAGAACTATACTGTCTGCAACATTTTGAGCTGGCTTTGAACTACAATAATCTTCACTGCAGGTATGTTGGCTCCTAAATTCGATACCTTTGTTTTATTAATGTCAGCCATTAAAGCTGAAGGATGTTTTCGACTAGCTAGGTCTGTCGAAATGCCCATCGAAAGATGGCAAGGTACTTAAAAGATTTCTTCCAAGGGAGAAGTTGGTTGCCTCCGACGTCGAAGGAGTCTCTCGTCGAAGATGCTTCTCGACGAAGGTGTTCGATGGTTCAGAGTGGAGCAGTTTGAAATTCAAGCGTTTGGAGGGAAAACGGTTTCCAGCGGTTACCAAGTGCAACGTGTGAAGATCTGGAGCGTCGAACGTTGAGAACGTGCCAAGTGGAGTCATCTCGAAGCAGTGTAACTGCCCGACGGTTAATTGGGATGTTTTAGTATAAATAGTAGTAGTCATGTAGTTTCTCGTGTGTGTTCACAATTCTATACAAAGTCACTCATATAGATTCGAGTACCCAGCGTGTGAGAAAGAATTGTTGAGAAATGTATGTGTGAAACACCAACTTTATTAATCAAAGTCATTTACTTTTCCAGAAATTTATTTGCTTTCTTCTTTACTTTCCTGTCGAACCCTTTCATTTAAAGCCTTATTTATTTTACCAAGTCCTTTCTTCATGCAATTTACTTAAAGCCTCTTTATTTTATTGTCATTTAACCAATATCCAATTTAATCAAACTTCAAAATCAACCTATGTCCTAGGATCAATCTGATCGATCCTGCGAGTAACCAAATAAGTAACCATTTGGAGGATCAGCGGTTGTTTACCAAATACCAAGGTAAACAAATTGGCACACCTGGTGGGACTGTGTGTTGATTGTTGAAAATAATCTCATCTTTTCGAGGAGTGTTGTATGTTATTGAGAAGTGGTAGAATATACACTAACAATAACAATACTGCCAGAAGAAGGGAAGAGATGGCGAATCCGCCAAACAATAACGAAATCCCACAAACGAATGTGGGAGCAACGGTTAATACGACCGTAAGTGAAGCGACAACTGTTGGTTCGACACCAGCAGTAACGGTCACAGCAACGGGGCCATTACTTTCGTTCACGGGCCCCAGGATGCCTGTGGGAACTCCCCCACCCATGGGAAATTCAGGCACAAGGCCTTTTGTTCCCCCAGGATTTATGCCACTTTATGGTATGCCAACTTCTGAAGTGGCTAGCCTGACGAATGCTGCGTCCACTTTTTCAGACCCTTTAGTGAGTGCCTCTTCGCCACTCCAAGGTTCTGGAGTAGGCATGGCGAATAGAAATAGGACCCAACTCTTAGGAGGAACGTCCCAAGTAGCCCATGGCCTTACAAATGCCTCGACAGCAGTCTTGAGGCAACAAATGGACGAAAGCAACCATGATATGGTGCAAATGTTGGCACAAACTTTGAGTACAATGCTAAACCCTCTAATACAAAACACTACTCAATCGAATCAGCAAGTGACAGCGCAAATGACGCGCTTGACTGAGTTCTTTGGAGTACCCCAACCTGTTCGACAGCCCCAAAGGGCGCAAATAAGGGGAAACCAGGGGATATTCTTAGAGGAAGAAACCACCATCAACCAGGCTCAACAGCCTGTCGAAGAAAACCTTAGGGCACGATTGGAGCAACCCGTCGAGGAACCTAGGGTAATAACCCCAGAGGTAAGGTTAATTAACAGAAACCAAAATGCTGACGAAGTAGTCCAGCATATCCAATACCAGAATACGGGTTTGGAAAATAATCTGGCAACCATGATCGAAAGGATCATGACTCAAAATGGGATGAACATGGGCTTTCGAAGGCCCAACTTTACATCTCCATTGTCAGAGTACGTGTTACAGACAGACTTACCTCCTAGATGCAAAGTCCCCAAATTTACTAAGTTCTCTGGGGACACGACAGAATCTACTGTCGAGCATGTGGCGAGATACTTGATCGAAGCAGGTGACATTTCGAATAACGAAAACCTGAGGATTAAGTACTTCCCAAGTTCTTTAACAAAGAACGCTTTTACTTGGTTTACGACTCTTCCCCCCAATTCGATCCATCATTGGACCCAGTTGGAAAGATTGTTCCATGAACAATTCTACATGGGGCAAACCAAGATAAGCCTGAAAGAATTGGCCAGTGTGAAGAGACGTTTCACTGAACCTATAGACGAATATCTAAATAGGTTTAGGTTGCTCAAGGCGAGATGTTTTACACAAGTGCCAGAACATGAGTTAGTCGAAATAGCCGCAGGTGGTTTAGATTATTCCATTAGGAAGAAGCTAGACACCCAATACCTGAGAGACATGGCCCAACTGGCCGATAGAGTTCGACAGGTAGAACGCCTCAAAGCTGAAAAAGCAAAGGCAACGAAAACTCACAAGAGAGAGAGAGGATAGCGTACGTTGAGATGGATGACGAAGATCCGGAATCCTTCGACGATACTTTAGCTGTCGAAGAAGGAGAATTCGATTTAGCAGAACTGAAACAAGGGCCACCATACTCTTGTAAACTGTTAGTCCCCTCAAGTGGGAAAAATCCCATTGGTCCAGAAAGGACCAACGATAGGTTCCCCAAAAAGACTTATAGTTTTGACATCACAAAATGTGATGAAATATTCGACTTGCTTGTTAAAGATGGCCAAATGATAGTACCCCCAGGGGTAAAAGTGCCTCCTCTTGATCAAAGAAAGAAGAGAGGTTTTTGCAAATATCATAATTTTTTGGGCCATAAAACTTCTCAATGTTTTCTTTTCAGGAATCTTGTGCAAGACGCTATCGAAGAAGGGAGGTTGAAGTTTGCTGACAAAACCCCCATGGCTGTCGACTCAAATCCATTACAGGCTGAAGCCCACTATGCTGAGCCCTCTGAGGTGAACGTGATAGAGGCAACCAGGAGCCAGTCGAAGAAGCCAGGAATTACAATGGTCGAAGTCTTAAAGGACCACATCAACATGCCAATCTTTGGCAGTTTTTCTGGAAATTTATCCAGGAAGACAATTGAAGCAGTTCAGAAAGCGGTCGAAAGCCCGGAGTTGGAGACCGCTGAAGCACAAAAAACTGGACCAAAACCCAGTTCCCACTTGGCCACAGTTCAAGGCCAGACGGAGAATCTGGAGATACAAATGAAGCAGTTAACTCTTGCTAACAAAGATACAATGAATATCAACATGGTCGAACTTTCTGACCCAAAAGCATCAGAAGAGGCCATGAGGCAAGAACAAGCTAATAAGACTGCTTTCCCTCGGGAAAATGAAAATTTGGCAGATTTTCTACAAAGATGCCAGAAAAAGAAATCAGAGGTAATGCTGTGTCCAAGATGCAGTTCGATCTTTGACAAAAAAGCTGCTGAGCACATTCAAGGCGTAAGAGCAGCGAATAAGAGAAGGGAAAATGTTGATCTTCGACATGATCCCAGAAGAGCCTCCCAAAGAGGTTCAAACCAAGAAAAGAGGCCATTGACTTTTAGGCCTCCCACAAATGTGCCAGTAGATACTTGGTACAAAACCTCTGGTCGAAAAAGGCCAAGTGAGGAGAGATGGCACTCTTTCGACGTGCCAAGGGGTTCCTCTTTGACTCAAAATAAAGAGCCTCAGGTTGCTGCACCTAAAGTTGCACAAGTGTCAAGCAACTACAAAGGTAAAAATCCCATGTCTCGATCTCAATGGAGGAGATACCAAAGGAGGCGAAAAGCTGAAAGGGAGGCTGCCAACGAACCAAAGGCAGAAACCAGTTCGAACGTTCCTCAAAGGAAGCAAAGGAAACCTCTAGAAAGAGAGCCAGTAACCAACAGGCTAGTTTGGCCTAACCAAAGCGAAGTCGAAGACGAAGGCAATTCTGAGTCTGATGATACTTTGGACATAATGGTGAATATAGTCTCAGTGCTGCCCAGAGAATTCAACCGACAGGTGGAGGTCGAAGTAAGTGACTGGGAAGTGGAACAAGAAATGGCCAAACACAGGCCAGTGTGCTATTTCATCATGGACAATGGCACCACTGAGGAACAAAATGGGTTCTTCGAGCCACCTACAGAGGCGATGAAAAATCACCTCAAGCCATTATTTATAAGGGCTAAGCTCGAAGAAACTACTGTGAATAAAATTTTGGTGGATTGCGGGGCGACCATCAACATCATTCCTCACTCTATGCTAAGGAAAATTGGCAAAAGGGATGAGGACATTAAGCCTCATAACATGGTCCTGTCGAACTATGAGGGCGGCATAGGGACCACTATGGGAGTGATCCAGCTGGATATCAAAGTAGGATCTATCCTTCGACCAACGATGTTTATGGTCATATCGGCCAAACCTAACTACAATCTTTTGTTGGGCCGTGAATGGATTCATGGTGTTGGAGCTGTGCCATCATCAATGCACCAGAGGCTGCTCCTATGGCGTCCAGATGGGATGGTCGAAAACATAGAGGCAGATCAAAGCTACTACCTGGGCGAAGTGAATAACCTGGGTTTGGCAGATTTCGACAAGAACTTGGCTCACATAGGGCCATGTCCAACACCTGACTTTGACATGGCGCCAGCGCCAAACACTTTTTGTTCCCTATACCTGCATCCTGAGCATGGTTTCCAATGGGACAGAGAAGACTTGTCCCACATAGACTTCAGTGGGTTAACTGATATCCAACCAACTGGTTGGGGAAGTGAATTCAGTGATAATGACTGAGTCACAATCTTTGAAGCGAATTTCGGCTTATGTAGCCGAAACTAAGATGATAACGGCTCTCGAAGCCGAAGTAAAGTACATGGCCACACAGGCCAATGATCAACAGTTATCTGCTGCAGGTCCAGGAAAGGATTTCGATCCAAAACCTCCTGATATCATGCCAGAAGAAATGCAGGAACAGAGGCTCGACGCCATCTATGACGATGAGCCTTTGGGCTTCGAAAAGGACCCCTTGGCGAACAACATTAAAATGTTAGTGCAAGATCCTTTAGAAGAAATCAACTTGGGC